TATTATTATAAAGTCATTTCAGTTTTGATATCTCCAGAAATCTATAATTCTAAATTATACCTTCCTGAAAGACTATAGATCTCTAGTTATAGTAAGGATTATGAGGAAAAAAATTGTTACACATTCTTTTCAATAATTTTCTCAAAATCTTAAAAATAACTCAAGCCCTCACTAACTTGTTTCAGGTCATTTAATTTGTGATTGAAAAAGAGTTATTAAACTGACATAACTAATGTACTCATGGGTTTTTGTGGGTAATACGTTCCAATGCATTGAAGAAACAATAGAATTCCGCCCACCTCAAAGCTATTGGCTTATTTTTAAGACTTAATTTTTAAAAAGTTCATAACTCTTTATTACATTGAAGAGCTGTGATGTCCTCAACGCCTACTCCCAAGGCCCCTCCTCACTGGTCTTAGGTGAGTTCAAGGGTCAACTATTTATATTAATATTATTGACTCATGTATAAAGGTTCTTATGCTATTCTACACAGGTCATATTGGCCACAAACATAGCAGAAACATCGCTAACAATAGATGGCATCGTCTATGTCATTGATCCTGGTTTCTGTAAGCAGAAGAGTTACAACGCCAGAACTGGAATGGAGTCACTAGTGGTCACCCCTGTGTCAAAGGTTAGAGACTGAAAATTGACCTTTATGGTCTGAATAATTCTGTTGTGAATCTCAGACATTTACCACAGGCCACAGAACTGCAAGAGAAACTACCACTGACTTGCAAGTTTAACATTGGAAATGTAGTTCTGGAGAAATAACAGCAATCTGTTGTTCGACATTGTACTCTGATTATTATGATGTACTATAAATATATACATTATCTGCCTAGCTATAAGCATAATGTAAATTGAAGAGACCTACAAAATTGTGGGATTAGATTTGCCCATAATTTACTCATTGCTATTTTGTGTTAACTTCATTCATAAACTTCTACACTTGGCACATGTTAAACATTTTTGTAATCCTCAGTAGCGTCATTAAGGTTTAGTCCTTGTTCTGTCAATCAGTTAAACGCTGTTAATTTTCCCATTCAAATATTATATCATTAAAAATAAATTAATTCTCTTTTTTTGTTTACCGTGCACAGGCATCGGCCAATCAGAGAGCAGGCAGGGCGGGGCGTGTGTCAGCGGGGAAATGTTTCCGTCTGTACACGGCCTGGGCTTACAAGAATGAGCTGGAGGACAACGCCATCCCCGAGATCCAGCGGACCAACCTGGGCAACGTGGTGCTGCTGCTAAAGTCTCTGGGCATCAATGACCTGCTCAACTTTGACTTCATGGACCCGCCACCGCACGAGACCCTGGTCCTGGCCCTGGAGCAGCTGTATGCCCTGGGAGCGCTCAACCACATGGGAGAGCTGACCAAGCTAGGACGCAGGATGGCAGAGTTCCCTGTCGATCCAATGATGTCCAAGATGATTTTAGCGTCAGAAAAGTAATTACAGTTTAATATATAACTCATAATATGATTGTATTAGCGTTTCAGAGTACTGGGCCACGAAAGCAAAATTACAGGGTTGTCAAAATATGAAGGAGAGAAAAAAAGAGGTTACCGGGTCATGAAAAAAAAAGTTTGGGAATCACTGTATTTGTTCAATAGATCAGAACTTTGTGTGCAGTTTTAGTTTCAATATTTATTTATTCTAATTTGACCTTGTTATCGAGTTAGGTTTCATTGCAGTGTGAATTAATATATAAATTCAAGTCAAAACTAGTCTTGTATGATTCTGTTATTAGTGGTGCAAGTTTAAGAATTTGAATGAAATCTATTTCAGGTATAAATGTTCCAAAGAAATAATAACCATTGGGGCCATGCTGTCGGTCAACAATGCCATTTTTTACCGCCCCAAGGACAAAATTGTTCATGCAGACACGGCTCGTCACAACTTCTTTGTGCCAGGAGGCGATCACCTGACACTGCTGAACGTGTACAACCAATGGGAGGAGACGGATCACTCCACACAGTGGTGCTATGAAAACTACATTCAACACAGGTCGATGAAACGGGCGAGGGATGTCAGAGACCAGTTGGAAGGGCTGCTGGAGAGGGTGGAGATCGAGTTGATGTCGAATCCCACTGACACGGTGGCCATCAGAAAAGTGAGTAGAAACATGCTGTGTTGTTAAGTTTTTCAAATATTAAATATTTAAAATATTAAAACTTTTACTGTGTACTAGATGCAATATGAAGTAAAGCTTTTGTTGTTAAATTAACTTTTTGAAAAACTGACTTCCCTGTATTTGGACAAAGTTAAATACTTTGTCCTTGAAAAAATTACTAGTGCTGGCAGAAAATGACCAGTTGCTATAAATCTTATACTTATAGCCTGGTGGCCTATATTTTGGCAATATCCAAAAAAGGTTTATTTTTCGGTTATCATTGAATAATTTTATAAACAATTATTGACTTTTTAAAAAAAAAAAACATTATTTAGAATTAATGCATCCTATTTAACTAATAATTTTGTTACCCAGGAATTAGGTTTTGTATTAAGTGTTTAATAAGAAAAAAGATTTATCAAAAACCACACAAATAAAGGGATTTAAATTTTTTGCTAAATTATTGCACAAATAGAATTTAAATTGTTTGTTGTTAAAATACTGTACATATTTCTATACTGAAAGGAGACATTTTATTTTTTTTAAATCATTTATTTTTATTATAGGCTATCACAGCTGGTTTCTTCTACCACACAGTTCGACTGACCAAGGGGGGACAGTACAAGACGGTTAAATCTCAGCAAACGGTGATGGTCCATCCTAACAGTTGCTTATTTGAAGAGCATCCTCGTTGGCTTGTCTACCACGAACTGGTGTTTACCACCAAAGAATTTATGAGACAGGTAAAAAAGAAGATTTTTTTTATATGCTTTAGCTTTAAACGTAAAAAATTAAATCCCAAATTATTCTCATCAGCTTAGTGCTGATCCCATTTTTATTTTCACATGTGAACCAGTAGAAAATCATACGGGTATGAGGCAGATAGTAATATTTTACAAACAAAATAGCAATCCAGTTTAATAATATTAATAAATTTAAAATATTTATTTTAAGACAATTAAATGTCAGGTTTTTTTTTTAAAATAGTAATCCGATTATATATTTATAAATTAAAAATATTTATCTGAAGACACTTATATTAAGTTAGATGTCACGTTTTTCATAGCGCAATCATCCCATTGCAAAATAATTTGCAGCACTGCTTAATATATTTGTCTCATAATTTTCAGGTTATTGAAATAGAAAATTTGTGGCTGCTCGAGGTGGCTCCACATTATTATAAATCCAAAGATTTGGAAGATGGCTCGAACAAGAAAATGCCGAAGACAATTTGGAAAGCAAAAGATGAGCTTTCAAGGACTTATTGATTTTCATACCTTTGGATTTAGACATCTTGAAAAGATTTTGGCATTTTTACCTAGTTCTACCAGGATTGCCACTGATGATGTCAGTATTCGGTGAGCTGTCCCATGTCATCAGGATGTGCCACAAAATGTGTGAATATATTTCTATCACATCTTCTTGAAAAGGACTACTCACCCAGAAGTGTGTTACAAAATAAGAAAGTGTATATATAGTTTTTTTCCCTGAGGAATGGCAGCTACAAGATTTGATGTGACTTATTGGTTCTCAAACTTTTACTGACTTGGGGTAATAATTACCTGGTGCCTGTCTATGGGTGAGTGGGCTGGGCATGAGCAGGCACAGGTTTGATGTGACTTATTGGTTCTCAAACTGTTACTGACTTGGGCTAATAATTACTTGGCTCCTGTCTAAGGATGTGTGGGCTGTTGTGAAGACTTAATTAGGTAACCAGCCACAATGAATTTATTGAAATTCAGAAAAAACTGTCCTTGGCATGTTTAAACTACAGTTCTGTGTTTTGATAAAACAATCTGTCACTAATTAACTTTTAAAGATTACAAATATATGTTTTTTGTGTGTACACAATTTTGAGGAATGTAATGAAAAGGCATGTCACTGTTAAATAGTTCATACTACCACCCTGTCATCAACATTGCTTTGTGCTGTTGACTTTTTACTGCATGTATCCACATGTCATGGTAATAAATTACATTTCAAATAAACAATATGCTCCAGCTCTGAAGTCTTCTTAATATTTGTGTGAAATCTTATAGAAGTTATAATAGTGAGTTTGAGAAAATACCCTTAGACATGTTAAACATAGAATGCTTGTCCAGTTTGCTGTTGCCATGTTACTTTATGTATTAATTAACCCTATAACTGTCCTAATGGCAGATCATAAGACGTAATGCCCCTTTCTATGTCGTCATGGCCACCAGCAAAATCATCAAAAATGCTAATGATTAAATGTATGTTGTTTATTGGGAAATTACTCTCTAGAAATAGGTTTGCTTCCTAAAAGCATGCTCTTATCAGGACGGTTTATCGGAAGTGAAATTTGCTCAATTTTTTTTTACTGCCATAATGTCTGACGATGGAAACAGTCCCCCTTTAGATTGCAAACTCAAAACAGACTGTCTTTACTAGAACTGTTTCAAACGTGTTAAAATAAAAACAATGATTTCAGAGATATTCCACAAGCTAGTAATGACATTATTAGTAATATTAGCTCTAGTTATGATAGTATAGCGACAAAAGTGAGATAGTGGCAATTTTAGCCCTAAGCCAAAGTATCTTAAAAAACCTGATGCAATGATAGATGGAACAAATAGTGAAATTGGGGTGGGTTGAATACAGAAGTTAAGTAAACAAATTTTGTAAAGGTCAAGGTCAATATCAACATACATAATTAAAAAACAAATCATTTTCATTCCATAAGATACCTTTTCCAATGTACTTTCAATGTATACTTGTAATGTTCTCTCAATTAATTAAGTCTGGGATTTTGTCATTTTTGACAAGCATAAGAGAATGCTAGAAATGACTTGACACCACAGAAAAATGCACTTGACAATTGATAGTGTTAAGGTGTTTTAATTTCCTTTATAAAATCGTAATGCACTTCATTAAAATTGATAACTTCATATCTATTTCTAGCATCTTTACCAAACGTTCATCAGCAACAAATCTTAAAGACTTGTATTTCAGAGTTTTCATAAATTGTAATTAATATTTGAAATATACAAAACCAAAAAATATTCAAATATATATATATTTATCACATCAATTATTATAATTGTACAACTTACTCTTACAGCCATCAAATTTTCACTTTTAGAAGTGTTATTATTTTTTAATCATTACTCATTTATCCTCTTAAATCCAAACAAGTAGCCCCCACTTCCAATAGAATTACCATATTTGCAGTGAACAGGACATAGCCGTGTATAAACCCACCACCTTTTGATAAAAATTTTTAAATGTTAAAAAACCAATAATTTTTATCCCATATTTAAGGCATATTTCGAAGGGGAAATAGTGTGTCCTATATGCGGGCAAATATGACATTTATCTATAATGCCAATCTCAACAAGCTGAGTCACTGATACTTCAATGTATACTTCAATGTGGCAGATGAAATGTTTTACAAACACTTCTTAAGTTTCATGTATTTACAAAATATAAATATATTAATGACAAGTTCAAGCACTGGTAACAAGCATGCACTCACACATTTAAATAATGCTGTTAACTTAAAACTATTAAAACATGTTTTCATGGTGCCTAAAATTGTGAGCCTAATTTTTATTAAATAAAATACTAATTTAAGTAATTGGTTTTCAATAAATAATTATCATTTGCTACATTCATTGGCACAAGATTCCATACGTAACACAGTTTAAAATTATTCTAAAGATGCACAAGCTAGAACTCATTGAATCATGATGGTAAGAGATTTCTTGATGAAGGAGCACCAGGGGCTGGCACAGACTTTTCTTTCAGGGACTGGGATTCTCGCTTGAGAACACTGAGCAGTGTCTGAGAGCTCTCCAGGATCTGAAGAACAAAATTTAATTATTGTGATTAGAGGAGTTAGAAATAGGTTTTATGAGAAAAGCATTTTACAGTTTTCAAATGCCAGTATGATGAATCACATGTAAAATAAAATAGGTTTCTGGAAAAGCTTTGGATAGTTTTAATGTCAAAAGAATATGAAAATAGCTAAGAACCAATGTTATTAATAAAATAATATGAAAAGGTGGGCATTATTCTGATATCCGGTCACCTGCTTTTGTTCCTGACATAACATATTTTCACAACATTTTTTAAATATAAGCACCACTTCAGACAGAGCTGTGTACTAGATCTCAGCTCTAAAGCAAGCTGCTAACAAGAGATTTGTCCATTTGAATTTTATATCCAAACCAATATACGAGTCATATTATGACCCTAAGTTACTTAAAATCTTGTTCATTTAGCACTAGAAATTATGACCCTTGTGGGCATATTGCACTATTTTCTACGTGCTATTGTTAAGTCTCAACATCTAAAAAATGTATTCTCAAAAATAAATTACAAGAATTTTCCAACCCTTTGGAATGTGTATTTAGGAAACAGTAACTCAGACTCTTTTAAAAAAGAAGTCATTACGTATAGATGCAGATGTTTATATTTTAACATCATTGAGCGTTGAGAAATTTTTATCTTCTATTTGATATAGGCCTACTAAACACTTTTTCACGAGAAACTAAAATGTGAAAATTTTCTAAAAATTTAAAAAACATGTCCTTAAATTAAAAAAAAAATATATGTACCATTTTAAATATCGGTACATAAACAGATTGTCATTTATTGGAATCTTCATTAAAAATTTAACCTTTTGACTTGCTCCTGAGCTAAATTATAACAAAAGTGTTCAGTAAAACTTAGTAAAACACAAAATTCTTATATCTAACCAAGAATCTCTTAACCACTTTTCCCATCTCTAACAGCCTTGAGTTTTTTAGAAATATTCTCAATCTCATAAAAAATTCACTAGCACTTTTCCACGAACTCTGTTTGGCTTAAATTGGAATGGCAAATATTTTTCTTATTTTTAATGAAAATCTTAATGCCTCTGGACTGTATTTTTGGTACCGCAATTGAAAAAATTATTGGGTTTTGCGATATTGTTATCCACATAAAAATGTTCCTACTCTCTTTCAAAGAAAATGTTTACATTATATTTTTTTAATATAAACATATTTTTATCCTCAAATACATGTGTCCACCCTCATCCTCAGGCCTGACCTGCGACCTGTATCTTCGATGTCTTGAGTTTCAAACTAAATCGTATCCATTTTTTTCCCTTTTCCAATTTCATTAAGTGTAGCGGTATGGGTATACACTTATGTAAATGTGCCCACAATGTACTGTATTTTCTGACACTGGTATAAGACATATTTACCTATTTTATTTCACTACTGTAATATCATTAGATTTAAAGAGATATCATTCACATAAAAATGTACACATCCTCTTTTCTTCCCTTGAAATCCATTTTTTTTTTAAAGCTAGTTATTTCATTCATTTCAAGACCATCTATATACACATTTCGGGTGTGTAACATATTTGGGCTTTAAGATATTGCCATATTGATATGATACACACACTTAACAGTAATGTATCATTTGCTGCCTCGGACAAAATCTAAAAATCGCAGTGCCCCCACTCCCCACAAATATTTTAATCATTAATAAAAGTGACCATGGGATGGTTGGTTTGCCACCACATGCCCTAAACTAATATCCCGCCCCCTTTTACCACGCAATTTTCTTTAAAAAATATTGATCAATACATTTATGGAGATATTGATATTAATATGTGCCTCTGAAGTATCATTTTTGAAATTATTAATGACAGAAAAACATAGGTGATCGTATAGAATGTCAATTTCCTTTAATAAAATAGTTTAACATGAACAATCAGATAAATGCAGAAAATAATTTTTAATTAAGATATTAAATTATTTCTGATTTATAATAATAATACTAAAATAATAAAGATTACATTAATTACCTACAACTATAAAAAGATTTATTTTATCATACCGGTATTTAAATTGATTCGATTTCCGTAAAATAATCAAAATTCACATTACTTTGTTTTTTAAAATCCCATTTATTTTTAGAAATACCTTATACATATATAATTACAATACTCTAAAATAACAATACATTTTTAAATTTGTCCATCTCATAAAACTCAAACACAAAGGCCACTATTTAAAGAGAACTTATAAATAATAATTGTAACTGTAAGCATTTGTAGAGTGGACAGGTCTGAACAATGACATAAAATATTCACTTCAGTTGAACTACTCACCTTCATGTACGCTGCCTCTGTTTCAGCAATTGTTCTATCAAACTCATTGCGTGTGGCCATCTTTTTGGCAAGGGATTCATTGACTTTGGCCAGACTCTCTGAAAGTACTCTGATATCATTCTGAAGTTTCACTTTCTCCTCCTCCTCTTGTAAGATTGACTTGTGTATTTCATCTCTCTTAGCACAAAGCTCTTCAATACCTTGATGAAGCATGTTGACATTGATAAACACAATTTTTTTGTTAAAATCAAGATGAATTTTAATTAAGATAAGATTTTTTTTATTGATCCAAGTAAATGGAAAATTTCTTTTGATTACATAGTATATTTATTTTTAGCCCATAAATAAATACATATTTTAACAAAGACAAAATTTTACAATAATAAAAATTTAAACACAAGACATCTGAAGTATTTCTCTAGGGTAAAAATCAGCTGTCATATACAAGCACCCCCCCTCCCCAAAATAAACTCCCTTAGTGACCATAATGAGTTAATTAGTGATCATTTAGATTAGGGGTGTGCCGGACCCCGGTCCGGAATCCGGTTCCGCCGGATTTTGCACTATCCGGTGAAATCCGGTTCCGCCGGATTTACATGTATCCGGAACAACCGGATTCCGGAATATACCGGATTTCGGAATTTGCCAGATTTTGTGACTCACCGGATCATAATCTGAAATAAAAGTAATTCTCTTTCCCGAATTTCACACGATCACGATACATTAATCGATTGTTTCGAGCGTTGAGCTTGTTTAATGTTTAATATTCCGTACATACCAGAGGCTAGAGTCAGCACCGCTAATAGTGGCCAATAGTGTAGGGACTTTGATAAGAAAATTTAAACTTTTTGTAAAAATAAACCAATGGCATAGTTGAAAAGATGTAATTTTTTAAAGAATTATAACACCAAAATCATATTTTTAGCTGTTGTAGTTTTAAAGTTATGAATTTTTAAAGTACGACTTGGTTTGTCATTTTTTAACATGGACTGCATCTCCACATTCTGTGATCTCATTCCACCAATCCCGTCATGCGCAATGACTATATAGTTTATATAAGGCAACGCATTCCCTGCCTTATCACTAAAATACTGTTTAGACTTAGTTTAAACTTTCAACTTTGGCACATGAATAATTAATTAAAGCTTTCCCTGACCAATGGTTTAATAGTTTTTGCACACGGCAAACTCTTATGAATGAAACTCTGAGGTAGTACTACGATACAGTTATGCAAGTGGCTGTGAATGGTTGCCAATGACAACGTGTTGCACACGGTAAATTCTGATCATTTATAATATGGATTCTACCGGGTTGTTAAAGCTCAAATTAAAACATTCCAGTTTAAATGTCTTTAAATGCATTCTGAAACACAAGTTATCAATTATTTTGATGTAAATAGTGATAATAAATTAATATTTCCTAAGTATCGTCAACTTCCGCCATTAAAAAGGGGGGCGTGGCCAACCCCATGGCGAAATTAGGTTGAGCGAGCTGCATAACCTGCTGCGAACGCGTAGAAACATGGCGTCTCTCGTAAGACACTTATCCAAATGGAACGGAACTCAAATATATATCGAAAGTACTAATTTAATAATAAATAGACACACACATCGGAAAATTAAAAACTCGGATTTTTTGGCGCCGATTGCGAATTCCCATACACAAAAAGTAGTTGTCCACCTTGACTTACCGAAGTATCTACCAATAGTACCAAAATCCGGAATAAACCGGTATCCGGATCCGGCGGATTTCGCATAAGAAAATCCGGATCCGGATCCGGTTGGAAAAAACGGATCTGGCACACCCCTAATTTAGATCTTTTAACTGCTCGAGGAGCACGCTAATAAATTCTTATAGACTAGGGAACAAAATAATTTTGTTATCTTTTGGCCCTAACCTTAGGGGGAAAGAGTTCGCATTGATTGAGCTGATCTTAGGTATCTGTGGGTGTAATGTATCATCTGAAAATATTTTTAGTTTTAGAACAGCATTTTTCTTCAAATAGTTTTTCAAGTGAATGATATTTAGATTGTGTGATATTACTTGCTTTCTAAATAAAATAACTGCAGATTTTATAACATTCATTGATCACAAGCAAAGCAAACAATTAATTAATAAACACTACTTATTAAATACTTACATTTTACTAGTTCGTTATTATAGCTTTGCAAAGCTGCTCCTTGTTGAGACATTCCTCAAGTTAATCCTTAGGTTTTTTTTAGAGAGATCAAAAGGAATGAATTAATATGACATTTATGATAATTAAAAAGACTGATTTAATCCAGGCTCAAAGCTATGGCTACAAAAAAAGTTACTTCTGTTTAGCATGGGGAAAAACTTAATGAAAAAATAGTGCCTTTAAATTTTTTAGGTAGACCAATCAAGAATAATTTAACATTATCTATAATACTTGTAAAATTTATATTGTGAATATTTAAATACTGTCCCAAAATGATGGAAATGTTTTTTATGACATCATACGTATTCATTTTAGCACATATATAAATATAATACCACTTTGGACAGTGGAGAGTGGGTCACTGGCTTTTTGTATAAAGACAGAGAGTGCATTGTTTTCTAATCGAAGTGCCAGGCCTACGTGAGATCACGTTATGAGAGTGTATCAGAAGATTTATTTCTGCAGGGTCACTGAATTTATCAGATGGGTGGGCGGCTTATGCCCATATAAACCAAATCAGAAATGGAACATACAAATACTCCTTTGTGGTACAGCAACAAAATTTTATTGATCCAAATGAACCTAATGTCCACACACAGTTTGCCACCAGCCGAGATCATCTCCCTTCCTATTTACACAAGTTCATGTTCCTCAACCGTTTTCGTGGAAATGATATTTATTTAAACTTTATTATCACCTTGGATGAGAACTATGAATAATTAATAGATCGTTTAAATTCTTCTATTTTTAAAATTTTTCAAATTGTCTAAGTTTTTCTATTTAAAATATGTCTTGTATTATTTGTTTTATATAAGATAATAATTAGCCAAGATAATTAATTAAGAAATGTCTTAAAATGTCCATCATTTTGGATCTTGTCATTAAAAGAATAGGGCTAATTGTTTAAATAGCACTTCAAACGGGAATAAATGGATTTTTCCTTGTCAGACACTCAATACTCAAGTGGTAGATTACCAATTTGTCAATTCTCTTGATGCCCTCTCGGATACTTCATTTCATCTAAGTGTTATTTTTATTCTCTTTTTACTGTTGTTTGTTCGCTGACGAAGGCTTCTTATTTCTTGTTGACACATTGGTTGGTTGGTTTGAACAATTTTAATTTACTTTGACTTTAAATTTACCAAAAATTTTATCCAAGTAACTACATTGGTCAATTGCAGTTTCTCCCCCTTATTACCAGTGTAAAAGCTATGCTGTCAATTACTTTTGTGATCGTTTAATATCGGTATTAAAAAATAAATACATGGTTTAATTCAAAATAGTGTAACTATACGCACTTACAAATAAAATACAGATTCTATTGTTTTTGTGTTTACAAGTCCTGTCAAGACAACTACCGGGCTATTACGTCATTTCCGCTTTAGAAGCCTTATTTAACATCGTGCAATATCTTAATGATAGTTTCACATCTTTGTTTTAGGTCATTGAAGTTTTAAAATTAGGTCTGATCTGGATGCGGTTTTTGCCCCGGTCCGTGTATTTTGATACAATAACTTGCGGATTCAAGTCCAGGTGTTACAAAATAATAAAAAGTTTTTTTTTTCCCCATTGTCTATAATGTGTTCCACACAATAAATTGGGAGAAATGTTAGAACCAGTAGTAGTAGCGACCATGTTCAAGTCTTCATAACACTAGTACAACCCTTTTAGTGCCGCGACCCCTTTCATTATAACATTTATCATTTACCAAGCTGTGGTGACCACAAAAATTCAGGTGTTGAGAAGGGAGGGCAGAGCTTTTTTTTTTTTTATAGATAAAAAGGTGTTGGTACTAATACTGTGATTTTAGAGAGGGATAGGGACTTGGATGGCGTTGACTTCTATAGCATACGTTATTTATTCTCATTGCATTGCTTTATAATTATAAAAATAAAAAAAATATAAAAATTTAAAATACTTTCCCTAGTACTAGTAGTAATAGTAGCATTATCTGACAATCAAGATTTAGTTTTAGATTAACTATAAATAGGTCAGATATTATATTGAACCTCGTGCTTCCACCAGACCTTTTTAATGCGTAGTGGTAAAGTAAGGCATTTTTAAGAAATTTTAAATTATTTCCTAATTTTTAGTGCATTTAAAACTTTAAATTTGTCTTTGAAAGAAAGTATTTAAAATAAATTTAAAGTTTCCAGAAGACTGAGGACTTAATGGCTGACACAGGGCCAGGGCGTCATCGTCTGGGGAAGACAGGGTTTCTTACGTGGTGTGAGGCCACGCTCCATAGTTCAATGCTTATGGCTAGCTCCGCCGTGACACTGGACGAGAGAGGGCAACGTAAAGGTGAGGGGTGGGGAGAGATTGAGAAAGGAAGAAAAAAAAAGTGGGGGGGGGGGGTGGATTAAACAGGACAAACGTACAACAAGACTGAACTGATTTGTGTAAGGAGGAAGAGAGTCTAAAAATAAAAATTTCCTTAATAAAAAGTTTGAAATTGGGGAGAGATTGAGAAAGGAAGAAAAAAAAAGTGGGGGGGGGGGGTTGATTAAACAGGAAATACGTAAAAAAAGACTTGACTGATTTGTGTAAGGAGGGAGAGAGTCTAAAAATAAACATTTCCTTAATAAAAAGTTTGAAATTTTGGTGATGTGACAATAGGAAGATTACTATTAATAAGAATAAAACAGAAAAGAAAAAACGATGCATAATTTATTTTTCCATCTTGGATTTTTAAAATTTCTATTTGCAACCCTGCATACATTATATTTCTATACAGTAGCATATAGCCATGTTATCTCAAGTAACAGTAACAGTAGGCCTATACAGCCATCTTATCTCACAGTATAAAACCATCTTATCTCACTTACAGTATAAAACCATCTTATCTCACTTACAGCACACATCCATCTATCTCACTTACAGTATGCAACCATCTTATCTCCCAGTATACATCCATCTTATCTCACTTACAGTATACAGCCATGGGCGCCCGCAGAAAACTTTCCAGGGGGGGGGGG